CCAATGAGGAAATCTGTCGAGACTGAAAGCCCACTAGTGGCCGCCAGGGGCAGGGAGGGAGGTGCACCCAAGGGACACCAGGTGTCTTGGGGTGAAAATGCTCTAAAATTGACTGTGGTGATGGTTACACAACTCCAAACACACGAAGAATTCCTGACCTGTACCTGTTAAGTGGGTGAATCAACTGGGATGTGACTTCTATATCGAGAAAGCTGTTTTAAAAAGAACATCTGGGGAAACAAAAACAATGCCAACTTTTAAACATTTTGAACACAAGCTTTCCTGGGGGCCAGTGGTTGGCGGTGTGTTCAGTTTCCTCACGGGGCTTCACCATTTTGCCCAAGGAGTACGGTTCCTGACGCGGCAGGAACACTGCCAGTCAGTCAACAGCCGGCGGGCACCGAGGTTCTGTCGAGAGCACCCGCGGTTGGTGAGCTGAGGGCTCTGAAGACAACAGAGGTTTACTGAACAGGCCTGAAACAGTTAACAGAAAACGCCAGCGCTGACACAGCCATGGAAGCGCTCTGGTTAAGAACTGCAGTCAGGGAGCTGGCCCGGTGGCACAGTGGTCACGTTCACAAGCTCCACTTAGGTGGCCTGGGGTTTGCGGGTTTAGACCCTGGACAGGGACCTACACACTGCTCATCAGGCCCTGCTGTGGTGGTGTCCCACATACAAAATGAAGGAAGACTGGCACGGATGTTAGCTGTTAGCTCAGTGACAATCTTTCACACCAAAAAAAAAAAAGAAAAAGAACTGCTGTCAGGTACGATTGCTTTTTTCCCCCTCAGAAATTTCTATAGTAGCGTGGTTTCCTCACTTTTTGACCAAAGGAATTCCAAGAAAAATACTGCATACTCCCGCCAGCACACACACACACACAGCACTGACAGCAGCATCAGCCAGGGCACAGGGCCCCTTACCAAGCCCTGCCCACCTTCAAGGTGCTTTAGGAAAGGGAACCGTGAACTCCAGGAGGTGAGTGCTGCTGCCCCTTCTCCCTGTGCCCAACCCTGCTCCCCTAGCCAGCCTGTCCACCCACCATCAGGACTGAAGGGGCGTCCGCTGAGCGCTGACTGCCCCTGGGTGGGGGACATGTCACAGGCAGCAGGGCTCTGGGGACCAGGGTTCAGTCTCAGCCTCTGTGGGTGCCCCCCCAGGCCGGGCCCGTCACCCCCACACTGTGGCCTGGCAGTAGCCCGGCTGGCAGACCAGACCATGGCTGCCGCACTGCCTGGAAGCCATCCACAGGCACTAAGTCGTGTTCTTCTTTTCCTTCTAGTTGGCATTCCGGGGCCAGGGGCTCCTCCCAGCACACACCCCTGGAACGAGCCCCCTCACGGTGCTCTGGTCAGGGCCCAGCAAACCTGTGGCTGCCTTGGACCCTCCGGGACGAGCAGCAGGGCTGAAACCAAACATAAAGGAGCCAAAGGGAGGTATGCGGGGCCCATGGGTCTGCCCAGCGGGATGTCAGATCCACTTCTGCCTCCAAGTCATGGAAGACGAGGGGCAGGCCGAGGAGCTGAGCCCCGTACCAGACATGTCCGCCGCGAGCCATAGGGCTGCCGCAGCGCTGCGCTCACCGCCAACTCCAAGCCCAAGTGTGCAAAGTGGGAAGTAACAGCCCGTCCAGACAACCACTACTAACACTAGCTTCTTCCAGATTTTGTTTGAGAAACGTATAAACAGATTTTCTGCAACAAAAACGGGTATAAAGTAGAAACACCACTTGGGAACCCGGCACTGTCAATACACACCACCGGAAAGCTCCCCGCGCAAACGCACAGGGGCAGGACTCCGTCTGTAAGATGGGGGCAGCGCTGTGCTTTTGGACGCCCCGCAGAGCGCATGGCCAGTCCTCTGCGGGGGAGGGCTGTAGACAGGAGAGGTCAAGTCTCGGGGTGTCCCGGCCTGGCCGAGGTCAGCACACGGCAGCAGTTTCTGGGACACGGGCACTAAGTGCCACTTTCCTGACAGTGAGCCAGGGAGCAGTCACGTCAGTCTCGGGAACATGGCCCAGTGCCCGTGTCCCTGCTTCAACTCAGCGGCCCCAGGGGGGAGCACAGGGAGAGCACCCCTGCCCACCCGCCCTGGCAGCGTCACTTCCCGCTCTCCCGGGTCTGCTACTGCTGCGTCTTTGGCTCCTGGCCGCTGGCCACCTTCGCTCTGGCCCCTCCCTGGGGCCGCCGCTTCTTCCTGGGAGCCCCTCTCCTGCCACGGTCCCCAGGCTGCTCCTGGTGTGCAGTGGGGTTGGGCCCCACGCCCCGTCGCCGCCTCATCCTCTCAGATCCCGGGCTCAGGCCTGGTGGCGGGTCCTCCTTTCCACCTTTCCCTGAAACAGCAAGGCTGTATGAGCAAGGCACCGCGAGGGCCCGGGGTCCTTCACACTGATTCTCTGACCGAGGTGCCAACTCCAGGGCAGCACACAGAACACACACGTGCCTGACACAGAACATGGGTGTCAGGCAGGTGAGAAATCTATGCTGCCTCCCCACAACAGGCAGGCTGACCGGAAGGTGGACGTCAGAAATACCAGCGTGAGGACAGGATCAAGAGAAAGAAAAAGTGGGCAGCAAAGGCGTGACAGAGGAGCAGGGGCAGGTGACGCTAGTCAGAAAGGGCAGGCTCGCAAAGTAGGGCCCAGAGCTTTGACTCAATTCAGTGCACGATGGAGCTATGAGACGGCACTCAGGGCCAACCTGGCATCAATGTGTGAGCCAGCCCAGCGCCCGTTGCAGGGCCCAGGTGTGGAACGCTGTGGAGGGTGGTGGCCTGCGCTGGAGCAGGGCTGGCTCGAGAGACCCTTCTAAGGACAGATCCTGGGATGTGGGGAGGTTTAGTACGTGCAGGACAACATGGGAGGGCTCTCAGCTGGGGCTGGGGGCACCATCTCTCCCTCTTGTGCATCCCCGTGCAGCCGAGGGTGCCCCCAGCCCCTGCCCTGCCTGGCTCTGCAGCCCATCCCCACTGCAGCAGGCAGCCCCACGCCCCTGCTGTGTGGTGGGCACAGGCCCAGGGTGTGACAGAAGCACAGGAGCCTTTAGTACAATAGACCAGTTGGGGGGACAGAGGAGAGGAAGGAAGAGGGAGGGAAGCCTCTGAAATCAAGAAAGAGAGCACGGCAAGGTGACGGGGCTCTGGAGGATGCTGAAGGCGAGGAGCAGCGGACGGGCTCAGTCCAGGGGTGGAAAAGGCTCCGGGAGAGGTGCCCAGGCCAGGGCTGCAGATAAGGAGAACAGGGAGCTGGCAAGAGCCTCCAGGCCAGCCAGAAGAAGCCTGAGGCCCTGACGCTTCACAAGGCAGCCCCTACTGCTGCAGGGCACCTGGGCCAGAGCGCCCCATCTCCAGGACACGTGGGCTGCAGGCAGTGGGGAGGGCCAGGATGGGAGGAGGGATTCATGCCTCAAGGCCAGCCTCAGGGAGAGGCGTCCCAGTGAGCACAAGCACGGGGGCAGACGGAAAGCAGGTAAACAAGCCCCTCCCTGTCAGATGACACCACTGGTCCTACCTGTCTTGTTCTGCAACCTGGACTTGGGCAAACGCTTCTTGGCCTTTCTCTCCCGCCTCCCTCCCTGCAGACTCCTGTAGGCTTTTTCCGGGACCTCATCCTCAGGGAAGAAGCCTAGGGACCAAGGTAGATAATCAGGAGGCTGAGGGCAGGCCTGATGCTTTGCGTCTGGGTGTTCACGGCTTCCAACAGCTCCACAAGCAACAGCTGCACAACTTCTGTGTTCTAACCTGCCACGGCCACACCCAGCGCAGAACTGTGCTGTCAGTGCCTCGGGAAGAGCCAATTCGTGGAGCATTTACCATACATCACAGTCTATTTCTTAAAAATGCTCATGCTGGATTATTTACAATAGCCAAGACGTGGAACCAGCCTACATGCCCAGAAACTGATGATTGGATAAAGAAGATGTGGTATATATACACAATGGAATACTACTCAGCCATAAAAAAAGACAAAATCGGCCCATTCACAACAACGTGGATGGACCTCGAGGGTATTATGTTAAGCGAAATAAGCCAGTCAGAGAAAGACGAACTCTATATGACTCCACTCATAGGTGGAAATTAGCATATTGATAAGGAGATCTGATCGGTGGTTACCAGGGAAAAGGGGGGGTGGGGGGAGGGCACAGAGGGGGAAGTGGTGTACCCACAACATGACTAACAAAAATGTACAACTGAAATCTCACAAAGGTTGTAATCTATCATAACATTAATAAAAAAAAAAAAAAAATGCTCATGCTGGAAAGGGGCACGAGAGAACTTTCCAGGCAACGGTAACATTCTGTACCTTACGAGTTTGAATTACACAAGTCTCTGCGTGGGTCAAACCCCCCAGATGTGCACAACACCCATGCATTTCATTGTATGTAGATTTTACCTAAAGAACACTGGACTCTAGTTTGTGATAGGCACGAAGTATTTACAGTCCGAGGGAGGGCGGGCGGGCTCCATGGGCAGATCCATGATAAGACAAGGACAGTAAAATGGTGATGGCAGAACTGAAGTGCTGGGTACGCAGGGATCTGCATACTGTAAAATCTATCCACTTGGCCATATGTTTACAATTATTCAGAATGAAATACAGGGGGAAAAGCTTATGTCTTCAATCGTCAATCAAGGACACTGCCTTTCAGAATAAGCCATCCCAGTTCCATCAGCCACACTCCGAACAGTGGAGTGGGCTGCAGAGCAGACCAGCAGCATCCGCTGCCTCGGAACTTACCAGAAATGCAGATTCTCGGGCCCCATCCCCCTGGAGCCCAGCCCTGAGCTTCACAAGCCTCCTGGGGATTCTCACGCACACTCAGGTCTGAACTACGACGAGAGCTGCAGCGTCCCTCAACCCGCCTCTCTCCCATAGAAACCCCACCGGCTCTGTGCACAGAGATGATTCACGCCATGAGGGTGAACACACGATCAATCCTCTCCCCAGAGGATGAGATGCCTTCCAACTCGGGGGCCGTCTCCGTGTGCGGCCAAATGCTCACCTTCTGCCAGGTGCTGCAACCTGAAAGAACAAGATACGGTCACCACCACAGCTGTGGCTCCTGGGGGAAGCAGGGTGCACCCAGAGAAGGCAGCCCCTGTATGAGGGCTGCCCTGGGGGAGCCCACCCGCCGAGCTCCGAAGATGAGGACTGCCCGCCCTCCCGGCTGAGGCCTCCTGAGAGGGAGGGGGCCAAGCGAAGGCGGCCGGCGCTGATGAAGCACATGGCAACTCCCAGGCAGCGGAGGCACACCAGCCCCCTTCAGAGACACACTTACTTCCGGATCACCTTGTAGAGACGCTTCCTGTTCTGAGAAGGGGTGCTCTGGTGACTGGCCACTTCGAACAGTCTGTTGGCAACAGCCTCATAGTCAAACTGTTTCATAAAGAGACACCGTGGAGGCAGAGTCAGTCCCCTCCCAGTGTTCCCAGAACATGAACTGAGCAGAGAGCACACCTGGCCCGTGTGTGGATTCCCACTCAGATCACAAGGACACGCCCCGACATCCTCCCGCCCTGCCCTGAGCAAATGCCAACTATCTAGAAGCCGAGGGCAGCAAAGAGGCGCCGGGGCACTGCTGCCCGACAGAGACAGGGCCTCCAAGGCAAGCTCCGCAGCTTCCAGCCCCGGGGAACCGCTCACAAACAACCAGGAAGAAACCAGGATGGTCAATTTTGATAAATTTTACTTAACCCAAGATACCAAAAATCTTAATTCAACAAGTAATTAGTATTTAAAACTCATCAGTAAGTATTCCACATTTACGATCTCCTGAAGGCACAGACCCTGTCCCCTGAGCTCTGACTCTGGGCGGGACCCTCAGCATGCGCCATCTCGTTTGCCCCCACCCCATGAGGCGGGCCAGGAGCAGACGTGGGGAGGCCAAGGAGAGGTGAAGCCAGACCAGGAAGCACGCACGCCTGCCTGAGCCCGGTCTCCCAGCCCAGAGCCTGTTTTCAAGGACTCGTGCTCCAGAGCACCTGCCTTGCCCCACGTCTAAGTTGGATGGCTGCCATCTCCCTTCAAATGCCTCCCCCTCCAGCTTCCAGAGTCAGCAGAGGGCACAGCTGAGAGGTCAGCCCACAAACCCAGACCCACCTGGAGGACAGGGCCAGCGCTGTCCTCGTCATCTTCTCCCTGCTCCTCGTCCACATCAGGTTCAGTCCCATGGATGGAGCCTAGAACAGAAAGGGCCCCATGAACTCAGACACACACCTAGTGTTGCAGGATCCCAATACAAACATCTGGGGACCAAGAGCCCTGTGTGCCAGGGCCCACGACCCAGCAGAGCACGCAAGTGTAGGCTGGGGAGAGCCCACAGCACGAGAGGGACACTGACAGTCTCAGATCAACGGGAGTGGTGCCACCGCAGGCCTGAAAACAAGCGAGATGCCACAGAAGGGGTGGGGCCTGACCAGTCCTTAAAGAGGAGAATTATGAGTGGGCATCTTAGGCAGCAAATTGTAGCGCTGGAAGTTCCAGGAGTGAGGAGGAAGAGCAGCGAGTCCAGGCATGGGGTGGGCCTGGATCGAGGGACCGCGGGAGATGACATTTCAGGTGAGGGACCTGACGCTGGGCAGGCATCCAGGGCTCGGATGTCACTGCCCACAGAAGACAGGTTCTGGACGATAGGTGGACATGAGGGGCAGGTGTGTGCAGCAGAGAATGAGGACAGCAGGGCCGAAGGCGGCACAGGTGGGCCCTCCAGGAGACGCCCAGGTCTGCCTGTGCCGGATGACCTGGCTACTGGGAGTGAGAAGGGAGGGGGGGGACAGGTCAGATGCACCGGCAGCTGGGGTCCCACGCTGGGGAACGGAGGTGTGGCTAACAAGAGCCTCAGAGCAGCCAGCAAGGTCGAAAGAGCCAGAGGGGCAGAATTAGCCCTCACATCTACGTCAGATGACCTTCCACAAGGGCACCAGGACTGCTCACTGGGAAAAAGACAGTCCCTTCAACTAATGGTGCTGGGAAAAGTGGATCTGCATGTGCAAAGAAGGAAACTGGACCCTCACCTCACAGCATACACAAAAACTAACTCACAATAGACTAACAACTAAATGTAGAAGCTCAAACTATAAAACCCTCAGAAAAAACACAGGACAAGAGCTTCATCACGCTGGATTCGGCAATGATTCCTGGACATGACAGCAGAGGCACAGGCAATGAAAGAAAAAACAGACAAACTGGACTTAAAGAAAATTTTCAAATTTGGGGCATCAAAAGACAGTATCAACAGAGTAAGAGGGAGCCACAGAAGGGAGAAGATATTTGTAACTCACATACCTGACAACGGGTTAATATCCAGAATATACAGAGAACTCCTACAATTCAAGAACAAAACAAACCGATCCAAAAATGGGCAGAGGACTTGAATAGACCTTTTTCCAAAGAAGATATACAATGGCCAGAAGCACACAAAAAGATGCTCAACACCACTAATCATCAGGGAAATGCAAATCACAACTATAGTGACACCACCTCACATCCATGGGGATGGCTACCATCGAAAAAAGCAGAATACAGTAAGCACTAGCGAGGATGTGGAACCCTTGTGCACGGTTGGTGGGAATGTAACATGGCACAGCTGCTGTGGAAAACAGTACGGAGTTTCCTCAAAAAATTAAACCTAGAACCACCATGTGACCCAGCGGTTCCATTCTGGGTATTTATCCAAAGGAACTGGAAGCAGAGTCTCAAGGCGACATCTGTGCAGCCGTGTTCATCACAGCGCTACTCGCAACAGCTAAAGCACGGAACCAACGCAGGTGTCCACTGACGCACGAATGGGTAAACGAACCGTGGTCCATCCGTACAATGGAATGTGTACGATTCAGCTTTAAAAAGGAGTGAAATTCTGACACGCACTATGACGTGGAGGAACCTGGAGAACACGGTACTGAGTGAAATAAGCCAGTCACAAGAGGACAAATACTGTATGATTCCACTTATATGAGGTTCCTAGAATCATCATATTCACACAGACAGAAAGTAGGTGGTGGGTGTCAGGCCCTGGGGGAAGGGATGGGGAGTTAGTGTTCAACGGAGATAGAGTTTCAGTTTGGGAAGACGGAAAGGTCTAGAGATGGATGGTGGTGATGGCTGCACATCATGAGTGCACTTAATGCCACTGAGCTGTACACTTAAAAATGGGTAACAGACTAAACTTTATGTGTATTTTACCACAATTTTTTAAAAAGCAGAGGCAAGGAAGAATCCTGAAGCTGGCAGATGACATGCCCCCTGCAGCCACAGGACACGATAAGCAGTGCACGGGTCACCCAGAGGAGTCAGCCACATGAGACTAACTGACATCCAGCAAGGACCCACGTTAGCATCAAGACCAGAAGAGACCAGACCAGACAGCATCGCTGCCCGAGCAGCACAAGCCCTGCCACCAAGCCCTTCAGTGGGATGTTAGCCATGGCATGTCCTGTCCACTCATCCATTCACTCACCCACCCCAACTACTGGGCGATCCTCTGTGCCAAGGGCTACACTGGGGATGCAGCTATGGTCAACCGGGCTCCCTGTCCTGATGGAGCTGACATCCCATGGTGGGGGGACTCCTCGGGCCAGGAACAACAAACAAGAGATTTACACAACTTTCAGTGATGTTTGCCAGGAAGTGAGACACTGGAAGGACTGGGGGTGGGGCTGGGAGGCTGCACTTTACACAGGGTGGTGGGGGCAGGGCCCAGAGTGACAGAGGGCAGAGACCAGTGGGGAGGGGTGAGCAGGGCAGCAGAGGCCCAGGCAGGAGCAGAGGATCAGAGAGGAGCCTGGGGGAGTCAAGAGGGCGTTGTGAGAACACCGGGGGCCACAGACCCAGGGCTAGGAGAGTGAGTGACACGTATGCTTGTTGTTAAAGGTCACCCTGGCTGCCAGGCTGACAGTGGACTTTGGGGACGAGGGCAGAAACAATGAGACCGACAGGAGGCGAATGCAGGGATCCCAGCGAGAGCCACTCTCAGCTCAGACCAGGACGGGTGCCATCACATCCCGATGCGTGTGATCCTCACCTTTCCACGGCTTCTTGGATGGCACATCCTGTCCCCGCTCCCGCTCCTTGCCTGCCGACATCTCCTCGTCGCCCTCTGACATCTCATCATCTTCCTCTTCCTCCAATTCCTTCATCAGGTCTTCGATGGCAAACGGGGCCTGTTCCACGATCGTTTCGAAGATGCCTCGAGTGATGTTATGCAAAACCAGAGGTCTGAAGGTGCAGCAGGCAGGGAGGCAGGCCCGTCAGGCTGGACACTCAAGGGAAGAAGCTGACTCCTTGTGCCCCTCTGTCCCCACCCACTATCCAACGGTCCCCCAGTGACCCTGTCACTTGTACACAAGTCTTTCTCTCTTCCCGAAAGGGAACAGCGACGTCCCAAAGGCAGTCACCCTGAAGAACCCGGTGAAAAAGAGGCAGACAGGAGGGCACCAGCCACTTACTCCTCAGTCCGGGCAGCGATTCTGCAGAAGGGGTCAATGAACCTCAGGTTCTGCTCGGCCGTCAGCTACAGGGAAGGAGGTGGGGCCACTTCAGCTCCTCGTTCATAAACACCCAGTGACCACCCGGCCGCTGCCCTCACCCGAGCCGACCACACCTCATCGGCGCCCACTTTGGTCAGCTCCTCCAGGAAGATCTCCAGGAAGTGGCTCTTCACCCCATTGGGAGCCTGGCTGTCAGGGTGCAGGATCTCAGTTGTCAGCAGCTCCAGCAGCTGCTCAGTCTGTCTGAGAAAGAAACAGGCAAATCAGCAGGCAGCCACATCAGGCAACGAGGCAGTGGTGTCCCCTCTACCTGAGTGGGGAGCTTCGAGGGGAACGCCATCACAGGCAGGCGTCCCGTCTTCCACACCCCAGCACTCACATCCACACAGGCGAAGCCTCAACAATCTGGGTCCACTCCAGCACAAAGGACTCTTGCTATAACTGATCTATGCGACCATCACCAGCACCAGCACATAACGTCATGACTGAGTCTGAGCTACAAGGTGAAAGGTGTATAAACCTTCACACAGGCTCCCCTTCTTTCCTCACAACCGCAGGGCAGGGGGAAGGCCTGGTGCCACAGGGTGCTACCTCCAGTCTCCCGTCTCTCTGCTGTCCTCGCTGGGAACTGCTCTGGAAGGACGCCAGGACAGAGCAAATGCAAAGCAAGCAGAGGGAGGCCAGAGAAGGGGAGGGGCTTGCTTCCTGGTTCTGCTGCACTGAGTACGCAGGCCGTGACACGTCACGACAGAGGTCTCCCCAGCATGCTGTTCCGGTGGTCTCAGGGGCCCACAGTTCCAAGGTCAGAGAGTTCCAGAGACCAGCCTTCAGTGGTCTGGATGCACCTGAGACTCCTGGGTGCTGGATAATACGCAGATCCCTACACCTGACTCTAAATCATGCATTCTCTTAGAATCTCCCTGGACGACGCTGATGCACGGCAACACTGTGGAGTCACCGATTCCGGAAAGGAAAAGGGATGCTGTCTGTGGCTCAGGAAAAATGAGCGGAGGCCAGATCAGGTGCAGGAGACCGCCTCCCGGGGTAACAGTAACACTGACAGACATTTACCAGGAAAACAAACTAGTTAACATGGTGTAAGAATGGAGAAAAGCTAGAAGAGTGGACCAAACTAGTCCCACTGGTTACTCAGAGCAACGGGAGCTTGCCAGCTTCTTCAAAATGACCTTTGCATTGAATTACTAGCGACAGTGACAACAGAACTACTTCTTCAGTCACGGGTACCCACCGGGTAACCCACAGACCTGTCCTGAAACGGGTGAGGCTCGGGGCCTTGGGGCCTCAGGGCCTCACGGGAACTTAGGATGCAAATCACAACCAGAGGCCCTTGTGCCCCAAACATAAAGTCCCCCACAGTAATTCTAAACTCAGAAAAATTCAGGTAACTATACCCCAACTCCTGCTGATCTTGTTCATATGGGGGAAGAAAAGTGGACCGGGGCAAGAATTTGTTAACTCTGCTATCCAGACGATAACCAAGTCCTACAGTAACAGGGCTGTGGGCCCCACTCTCTACTTTCACGTCAGGTACTAGTTTTAGTATCCATACACTTGAAATCAACTCCTTTAACGTACACTTTTAAGTTACAAATCAATGCAAAGTTTATTGTTTCTCAGTTTCTCTCACCCTACCCCCTACCCAAAACCACACAGCAACAACACACTGACACGGGAGTGTTTCTGATGCATCGTCAGTAAAATAGAATAAAAACATCACGTTTGACACGATGCCACTTTTGTAGCACACACAGAAAACAATACTTTAAAAGTAAGTATCTGTTGGAGTTAAAATTGCTTTTTAACATTTTATAAAAGCTTGCTGAATTCTCTAAACTAAGCACGCCTCATTCGTAACTACAAAAAATTTATAAAGAACTAAACTTTTAAATTAACTTTAAAAACTTTAAAAGTGAACACTGAGGAACGCACTGTGAGTTGTGGATCTCGGACTGCCCGTGACGTGGCCGCAGAGCTTCATGCAGCAGCTCATGGCGGCAGGAGCCCCTCCCCGCCCCTGCTTGGTCCCCGTGTCTGCAGGAGGGGTGGGGGAGGAGCTAAGGCCCAGCGGAGCCCACCCAGCCCCACCTGCAGTGGCAGAATCCCCCCAGGGCAGCTCCACGCGGCGGAAGCCTGAGGAACCCCAGGCCCCTTACAGTCTGGGGGGACAGAGCACCCCACCACAAGCACGACCGTCAAAACTGAGAAGTCTGGATGAATTAAATATGCCTAGAACTGGGAGCAATTACCTCTGACAAGATAACTGAATATACTGTGTTTTACAAAAAACACTCCTTAGCTGTGCGTTTCTTCTAAGGCGAGGACTCCATTCTGACCACAGTAAGAACTCAGCACCAAGACGGTTCCCAAACACTCCCACGAACACAAGAGCAAACCCCAGCTGTGGAAACGCCTTCGTTTTCAGTACCACCGTTCACCCTGCGACGTAAAGGCGATGTCTCTTTACGACTAACAACTAAGAGAAGCAGGTGACCCCGGCGGCCCTGTGACAGGGACCCGGATCGCCCGCGAGCAGCAGGCCGCCCTCAGGGCGCACCGTGAGGACCCACCTCTCTTCCCATCCTCGCATTTTCAGGGCCGTCAAGGACTCATTCAGGACCATCCGCATGAGCTGTGGCACAAAAGGAGACCTGTGAGTGGGGGCACAACCTAGACCTCCCCTCTACCCCTTGGTCACCTGTGTGCCCCTAAATGCACAGCAGGCTCTCCAGAGCTGTTGGTGAACAGGACACCAAGCCCTCGGGACCCTGGGCCCTGAGAATGTGCCACTGCCCTGGGGCTGAGAGGCCCCCACTTTCCCAGAGCGCCAGGAAGTCAGGCTCACAGTGGAAACAGCCGGGCAGCAACTGCAGCACCAGAAAGGAGAGCTGAACCGGAAGGGCCCCTGCCTCAGGAGCGAGAACAGGGACCAAAGCACAGGTGTCCCCTCATGGGAGAGAGCCCTCTCGGAAAACCCCACGCCTGAGACTGAGAACATCCCTCTGAGCTCGCCCAGGGACCGCTTCCCCAACACAGAAAGAGTTCACGCTCTCTGCCCCATTCCCCTACTTCCCCTTTACAATGGCTCATGGCATCTCTGGCCCGGTTTTCGTACCTTCCAGATACGAACCCAGAACGCCCACAGAGGGATCTGGTCGTGGTAAAAGGCCACAGAGGACAGGTACAGAGCACACACAGGAGGCAGGACGCCCTTCTCCAGGGACGCTAGGGGCACACCTTACATCACTCCCTGCCTACAGTGCTGTCAAGAGGGTGGGCCCTCATAGCGGGCAGTGCTGCCAGACGTGGTCACACAGGGGGACATCGAAATGGGTCTCAAAAAGCAAGAGAACCCATCCCATCAGAGGGCCCAGCAACTGCACCCTGGAAACTGCGTGCTAACACTAAGACCTCCCCTCCTGTAAACTTGTACTTTGTGAAAGTGCAAAGCCTGGCCCTGGCCCCCTGCCTGCCCCATGCTTCAGCATCTGACTTCCTTCCCTCTTGAGCGCCAGCCAGTCCTCACTTTAATGACATGTGACATCACACAGTGTCCACATAACGCTGGCCCAAGTCTAACCTGGGGCTGAGCCAAAGCGGCAGATCTCGAGTAACCGCAGCCCCCAGGGCTCCTGCCCTTAGTGAGGCCCAGCCCCTTGTCCCCATCAGGTCACCAGCTCTCAGACAGCAACACTGTCCCTTCATCTGAGGACCGTCCCAAGTCCCAGTGAACACCATCACAGTAAGGAGACTGTGGTTCAATGGGGGCGAGGGGGGCAGCAAGACACTGAGTCTGGAAAACCCAGTCTTCTCCACGTTTCTGAGGGCAGATCAGCAACCTGAATTCACAGAAACGCAGCGTCGGAAAGAAGGAAAAAGGGGATTCTGCATATGACAATGATATTAATTGTCCTCGCCCAGAAGAAAACACCGTCAGAGGCCAGGACCCCACCAGCGGACCCGAGGGTCTCTGTCCAGGGCGCAAGCCCGCGCGGCTTCCTCCGCAGGGAAGCAACGGCTTCACCACCGACTCTCCCTGGAAGGGCAAGTCTATCCCTCCTCCTCTGAGCTGCTTTGTGTGGTGTTTTAAGGACTGAAGTCTTTGCCCACCCACCACCCCTCAGAGACAGGGCCAATACCGTGGAACCCTGCGCGCACACACACCCCAAGCAAGGTCTGGGCTCCTGTCACGCCACTAGGCTTCCAGGTCACAGTGCTCAGGGTCTCCACACTGTGAAGCCTTGACGCTCTGCACCGCCAGGGTGGAGAAGGCTCAGGGGCCAGACCTCTCTGCTGTGTCCTGGCCTCCCCCGCTGGCCCTGCAGGGGAGCAAGGACCGGGTGCCGGGTGCTCAGACCTGCTCCCCACGCCTGCCGTGCAGGCTCCGCAGGGGGCCCCAGCAGGAGAGCGCACAGCGTCCTCACCAGGTAGTACTTGTCCAGGCGCAGTCTGTCTATGCCCGTCCACTCACGATTAATGGTTTGCCAGAACGTCTGAAGGAACAGGTGCTCTGGAGGAGAAAGGAGGCCAAAAGAGACTCAGAGAGGAACAAGGAAACCACTTTGGGAAGTGGCGTGAGAGAATGTGAGGAAAGCTGGTCAGGACGTCCTGTGCCAGCAACCTGTGGGTTCTCAGCCCCAGAGTCTGCTGCGCTGAGAAGTGGTGCTATGGATCTGGCTTCGAAATGAGGCTGAGGAACCTCAGAGAGAGAAGCAAAGCCCAGCGACTGCCCCAAGCAGCAGCCACATCCTCTAAAGAACAGACAGAGCCACCGGCAGGAGGGGCTCGGGCCAGTGCTTCTCCAGGCTGAGGACCCACCTGACCTCATGATGCCCCACGAGGTCCACCAACCCAATCAAGCACAAAACCCTGCTGATAACGGGTATGCCAGATGCAGAGAGCTCTGGGCTGAACTCTGTCCCCCAAATGCATATGTTGAAGTCCTGACCCCTAGTCCCTTGGAATGTGACTCTATCTAGAGAGAGGGTCTTTACAGAGGTAATGAAGACAAGATAAGGTCATTGTATGGGCCCTAACCCAACGTGACTAGCGCCCTCAAAAGGGGGTACTAGGACACAGACATGAACAGAAAGATGACCATGTGAGGACACAGGGAGAAGACGGCATCTACAAGCCAAGGAGAGAGGCCTCAGAAGAACCAGCCCTGCCCACACCTTGACCTCGGGACACAAACGGGGCGTCTCCTATCTCCTGTTACAGGCTTCTCCAACAGCAAAGGTTCGTCAGATGGTGCAGTAATGGACAGGCCTGGCTCCACTAATTCATTCAAGTGTCACTGTGCTCAAGTGTCACTCATTCAAGGCGAACACTTTGTACTTGGCCTTTTGCTGAGCATAGAAACAAACTCCTCCGTAAGTTCTTAGAAGGTAGCAGTCATGGAGAATGGATCTCCTCCACTACCACTCAAATGAGTTAGACTCTCCCAAACCAGGAGAGCAGTTACTGCAACTGTTTGCACAGCCCCTAATTTTGACTACTCTGCCTACTTAGGTATAACTGAATACACCCCTCCCACATAGCATCAGTCCTCGCGGTCTATGCCAGAGACGCTGCCCAGCCTCGGCTGTTCCTGGAGCAGCACAGGGAGGTGGAAAACGCTGGTGCCCAGGCCCCAGCCCCAGGGCCTGATCTAACTGGACCAGGGTCTGGACACCAGGATTCTAAAGACTCCCAAGTGACTCCAACAGGCAGGCAGCACGGGTGAGAACTCCTGACCCTGGTGAGGACAAAAAGGGAAGAGTTAGGAAAGCGCACTGCAGGAACTTCACAAGCAGCAGGTGGGATTCGGTCAAACAGCTTGGTAACACCACACCAGCTTTCCGTTCCAATTTTAAAACCTAAGATTCCAGCCCTTGAGGTTCCTGAGCTGAGCCTATTTTGGGTAACTGAGTTAACACGTGCTGGACACTCAGAACAGTGTTTTACACATAAGCACCAGCAGAAGCCAGCCAGAACGGGGACCGCTCTCGCTCTCAGAACACAAGCCTGCGTCTGGCAGCTGACTCGCTGCGATTCTGGCCCAAGGCGAGGATACTCACGTGCCTCTGCACTCTGAAAAGCATGGATGAGCTGGGAAATGGTCCTTCCTAGTTCCTCCTGTGCAGGAAACAGTAAAAACTCCCTCAGTCCCTGGAGAAATGTGCTCTTACAACAACATGCAACAGCAGAAAGACAAACGCACTCAACTGTCCACTCCCTCATCGTGAGAACCGGCTTCCACTGGCTCTTTCAGCCCAGCAGCTTGAGGTCTGCAAGTTCACCCCTACTGTGAAAGGCCTCTCCTACAGCCGGGGCCCAGAGTCTCGAAACACGCAAGGGCAGTAAGTGCCCTCAGGACAGAGGCCGAGCCCCAAGCGTAGGAGGTGGACCGTCAAAAGAGGGGGCGCCAGAGAGCAGGGAGGCACCTGACCAGCAAAAAGAGGGGGCTGGGCAGACTCTGTAAGTTGCTCCCTGTCTGCCTGCATCACCGCACCAAGCATCGCCTGGCGCACTGGCTGAAGAGATGATTCCAGACCCTCCCCTGGAGAGATCCCATTCAGCAGGCATGGAACACAGCACAGGGATCTGCATGTTAAACAAGCACCCTCACTACCCAGGTGATTTTAAAGAAGAGCAGACAGTCCACACCCTGAGCAACACTGCTCTAGAAACACTAGCATTTTAGGGCAGTGAAACTCCTCGGTGAGATGCCACAATGGTGGAGACAAGACATTACATGCTCATCTAAACCCTCAGAATGTACACCAAGGGTGAACCCTAAAGGAAACTATGGACTCTGGGTGATGATGATGTGACAATGTTGGTTCATCAACTGTCCCACTCTGGTGGAGGACGTTGACAGTGGGGGGCTGTGCACATGTGGGGCGGGGGGGGTACATGCGAACTCTGCACCTTCCTCTCAATTTTGCTGTGAATCTAAAACTGCCCTAAAAAAATAAAGGTTTTTTTTCAAGATTTTATTTTTCCTTTTTCTCCCCAAAGCCCCCCGGTACATAGTTGTATATTTTTTAGTTGTGGGTCACTCTAGTTGTGGCATGTGGGATGCTGCCTCAGCATGGCCTGATGAGGGGTGCCATGTCTGTGTCCAGGATCAGAACCGGAAAAACCCTGGGCCGCCGAAGCTGGAGTGCATGAACTCAACCACTCGGCCACAGGGCCAGCCCCTAAAGTTTATTTTTTAAAGAGACAAAATAAAAAGGCTAGTCGGAGAAATCCTTGTCTCAGAAGACCTGGATTTGGTCCCTTGACTTCCATCATTTCAGTGCTCAGTCTGCAATCTCTGACAACACAGAACAGAGAACCCAGGCTTTCACCCATGCCAGGACCCACAATAGCATCACCTGTGTCGCTATGGCGCACAACTCAGCAAGTGCAGAACACACTCTAACCAGAGGACCAGGCCCTCTGACCATAAAAAAAAAACAGCATCAAAGCTGTAAAACTTCGCCCAGTATCTTTGGCTTTACTAAAATGAGGGTCAGCCACATGCCCGTCTGTCCTCCCACTGACACCACTGCTCCAGCTTCTTCCACCACCTTCCCATCCACTCACCTGGAGGAGAGGCTTGTCCTGCATCCACATGCAGTAAAACAGTCCCTTCCACACCTTCAGCAGCTCGTCATGAGTGAAACCACCTGTACCAAAACAGCAACTCTCAGACCAAGTGAAGCCAACCCTTCAGTGCCAGGAATGAAGCCAGAGCAATGGGGCCACCTGAGCCAGACCAAACTCCTCCTACTGGGAAGGTACCTGGCCCTCCCCACTCAAGCCATCCTCCCAACTCAGAACCCGTGGGGCCTGTGGCTGTAAGGAATCCCCCAGGCAACTGCCATTTCATTCTTTCAATCTACAGATATCAGGCCCCATACTCCGTTTTTGGAGATTCAAACTTGAGTGAGTCATCATTTTCCCGAGTTGGATGGTGGTGACAGGAATGAATCTGATGCTGAGACTTCATCTAGCATTACACTTGGGGTTTGTGCACATTCTGTTATACCTCAAATTTTAAAAGAAAAAGTTAACTCATTCAGGCTAGTAAGGGAGCCAGATATACAAAATCACTCGAAATATTTACTGAGGTCCTAACTATGTGTCTGGCACGGTGCTCCTGGAACTCAGACGTTAACTCTAGTATGGAAATCACCTGGAGGGCATCTTAAAAAAGATTGATGGCCCTACACAGATGGCCAGTTTCTGATTCAGCAGGGCTGGGATGGAACACAGGAATTTGCAGTTCTAATTAATGCCCAGGGGATGGTGATGCTGAAGCTGATGGGGGTGCGCGGGGTTCCACACTTTGAGAACCGCTGTTACAGACAGCAGTTAACAGGAAGCATGTTGTCTGCCCTCGCAGAGCGTACACTATAGTGAAGTTCAGTTGACAACCCAATAGTTACATAAAGAGAAAACTACAAATAGTGACAAATGCCGCTCTGAGAAAAAAATACAGGATGCCCCAAACAGGGGTACCGGTGTATATGGTCTGAGAGGGGGACTGGTTCCCAGAGGGAGGGAGGTCTGAGGTGGGAAAAAGAAATACGGGGCTGAGGATGGGGTGTCCAGGCAGAGGGACACGGGGTCACGGTCCCGCGAGGTGTGGGCCGAGCAGCTGCAGAGCCGCCTGGGTGTGGGCAGGGGCGCAAGGCCGAGCGCTCCGGGGGCGGGGACCGTGGGAAGCACCGCCCGGCCACGTGGAGGCTCCACGCGGTTTGCAGGACCCCCTAGCCTCTGCTGCCGCCGCCCCTGGCCGCCCTCCGCCCCCCGCCCAGCCCGGCTCGGCCCCCGAGGCGACCCCCGCCCACAGCCTCAGCCCCGCGCCAACCTGAGGCCCGCTGAGTCCTGGCGACGATGTATTTCCGGAGCTTCTTCACCGCCCGGTCCCGGGTCACCTGCTCGTTCCCCGCCAGGCGCTGCGCCAGCTGGATCTCGGGCGGGAGCTGCACGTGCGAAACCATGGCGACCGCCACCGGGACCCCCCCAGGCTCCCGCGACCGCGCCGCTTAGCGTAGACGCACGGCGTGACGAAACACGACAGAGCCGGTCGACCCCGGGCGCGTGGCGTGACGTCACAGGTCAGCGCCGGCCTCTCCCGAGCCGCACGCCACCGCCTCGCAGTGGCCAGGAGGTGCAAAGACAGCGTCCCCCCCTGGCCCTCGTCTGAGCGGACATTCATTCTGGACGCTTGTAACTATTAAAGGGAGGTCGTTAACCGTATGGCCGACTTTTAGGGGGTTGTAGTGCACCCCGATTGCTGGGAAAAGGCTCTTCTTTACCAAAGAATGACAGCGAGCACAGGAAGAAGGAATAGTAGAATTGGAGAAAGCCCTGTGCCGCCCCCAGTGAATCGTTGATTCAGGCGAAGGTTATCAGAAATCGTCCCAAGGGCCAGAGAAAGGTGGTCAGGGCCGGGGTATTGCATGAGTACCAGTCCCCGCCCCGTAAGGCATACCGCTTCCGGCAGGCGCCCCCACCTGCGCGGCAGCATCACCTCTACCCAACCCTGGTCCAGCCTTTGGAGCTCTATCGCCGCTGTCAGGACTTAAGGATGGTCGTCCACGTGGACGAGGAAACAGCCACAACCCCAGACCTGGGACAGTCCGCATGACAACTGTCCTGAACTCTTCACAGAGTTAACGTCGTGAATGAAGGAATGACTACATAAAAGAGGAGGAATGCAACATACAAATATTGATTGGATCCTGGATCAAAGAGAAAGCTATAAACGTCCTTTTGGGGACAACTGGGAAAGCTTGCATATAGTGTGGAAATTAATAAAAGAAACCCTAAGTAAACTGGAGTCGGGAAGACCTGTAGCAGGAGCTCTCACCCTCATCACACACGGTCAGGTACACCAAACAGGAAGAGACAGGCGCATTCATCTCCGACAAGAAGTACAACTAGTTTACACTGAAGGAAGATTTCTCTCCCAATCAAACAACAGCCCAGCCAATCAGAACACCGCACCTCAGCCAATGAGAAACGCTGCAGCCCTGGCGAGCTGCTCCTCAGCCTCAATGAACTTTCCTTTAGAACAGCCCCTCCCTCTCCCCCTTTTCTCTATAAAGGCAGCTCCCTTTCTTTGTTCTCTGGGTTTGCCTATGGTTCCCTGCAGCAGGTGCGTCCCAAGTTGCAAATCTTTGTGCTATTTCCGAATAAACTCATTTTGAGGATAAACTTACATATGAATTTGTTTTTAAGCTGACACTAGTCTATATGTTAGGTTACAGTGCAAGATAATTGTTTATTAGGTGAAACAATGATTTTATGTAAAATGGGCTCAATAGACTTTTTTTGTAAAGGGCCATGTGTCAGGGAAGCCCAAGACCACCCCCAGGTGTGCTGATTTCCTAGGAGTACTGACGGCTATGATGTATTGTGAATACAAAGGATACAGAGCAAAATCAGCACAGGGAAAAGAGAGAAATCCAGGGAAACCAGGAGGAAACTTCCAGAATCCTCTCCCGATGAAGTTACACAGGACTCACTTAATTCTCCAGCAAGGAGCTGTGACAAGGCATTCGAGATGCCATCTACCAGGGAGCTTGTCAGAGATGGACAGCAAAGGTTTTTATTGGGGCTGGTCACATGGGCACCAAAATTCCAGATTGCCAGAGGGAAAGCCAGTGTTAGCACAAGCCATATAGTTTGTACAAAGGGTGTACACCCAGTGAGGCACTCCTATCACAGTGAGGGAGATGGGAACCCTCCCCAAATCCATGTTCCCCGACACCAGCCAACGGCCAGCCTCGTGAGCAGGACTTTCTCAGGAGAGCAGTCGGGGTTTGTGTTAACTCTCTTCTGCACAGGGAACACAGGGAATATTTTCTGCTTTGTGGGCCAAACAGCTGCTATTGTAACACAAAAGCAGCTACGGACAATATGTAAATGAATGGGTACAGCTGTGTTCCAGTAAAACCCTATTTTCAAAAACAGGTGGTGAGCCAGATTCAGCCCACGGACTACAGTTTGCCAATACGTGATGGAGAAGAGTGTCCTCACTTTAGGAAATAACTGTGCAGTGCATGGTGGGGGTGAAGTGTCATGATGAAAATAAACTGATAATCACACACACACACATAGTACATAAGCAAATATGGCAAAATGTTAACAATGATTGAATCTGGTGGCAGGAACACAGGCATTGCATTGCCCTGTTCTTCCAACATTTTCTATGTTTGAAAATTTCATAACAAAAAGTTGGGAAATAGTTTAGAAACTGGTTTTAGAATTAGATTAGTTCTTTCACTGACTATTTAAATACCATTTATATGCCAGGCTCCACTCTAGGCAACACTGATGCTGTGAACAAGACAAGGTCCCACCTCTTGGAGCGCACATTTCAGTGACAATGCTGAACTATAAAATAACAGATCCACGCACTACAGGGAGGCCGGCACTCCGTGCTGTGGAAAAGCTGAGAGGAGGGAAAGGAGACAACGAGGCCAAAGAAAAGAGCAATTTTCACAGACATGTAGTGAATTCTTGACACAAAACTTCAACAAAATATTTCATACATTTCAACAAAATAACTCAATGAAATGCACCAACATAGACTTCAGAAATATACTTGACAGTATCTACAGCTGGTAGATGCCGACACTAATGAAAGATTGTTCAACATAATTGAAATACAAACGTGCTTTATTCTAAATGCAAAGTTATCCCTCTTTAGTAACCTTTTCAAAGTCTGCTGTGTGTTGAAGCCAAGAACGACCAATGGATACGAAAATGAGTGGCAAAAGTATGATGAGAAACATGATACTTTTAGACTCTCAAAGGTACGTATTCATTACAGTAGGAAAACTTCACAAGGGAGCAACCTGGGACCGCGATGTAGGGGGAGCCTGGACCAGAAAGGGGCCTTTACTGGGACAACAGTGAGACACAGGCAGTTCCGTAGAGGAGCTCGTTGGATTGCACCTCAAAGCTCATTTCCTGTCTTGATAACGACGCTACGCCTGAGCTTGTGGATGAGGTTAACATTAGGGAAACTCGATGAAGAGTTTACAGAATCTCTACACTATTTTTGCAACCGAAAATTATTTCAAAGTAAAAAGTTTTAAAAATTAGAAAAGCAAAATAAAAAATTCTGATGGGAATTTGGGGAATGAAGGTATTTTCCAACTTTACACACATCGCCCCCTGTAATGCTCACCCCACGAGGGCAGGGGTTGGTCTGTCTTGTTCGCCCTGCCCCCAGGACAGCGCCTAGGTGGTGACAGCGTGCACAAGAGCTGTGAAGAGCTCACTAGGTACAAACCAGCAAGAGAAAGGCGCTCATTCACTCCACAAATGATAAAGACCAGCATCTCTCATGTACCTACAGGATCATGTGGGGCCTCTTCTCATCCTGAGGCGGTCCTGTTTCTGTTTTGTTTTCTAGAATGTAGAAAAGTCCGTGTTCACAGATCCTGTGTGTTTTCCTAAGTCTTGGTCTTTCAACTCCAGGCTCAACGTGATGAAACAGGTGGGCCCAAGGGTGTGTGTGTGTGGCATCCGTGAAGCATCGTGCTGCATCCTGCTAGGAAGCGTGTGAGACGTGCAGAGGAGGGACCAGCTTCCTCGGGCCCCACACACTGTGTGGCTTAGAACAGCAGACAGGGTCGTCCCACAGGTCTCGGGGCCAGCAGTCTGAAGTCAAGGTGGCAAGGGGGTCCTGCTCCCTGCGAAGGCTCCAGGGGAGGAGCCTTCCTGCCTCTCCCAGCTTCCGGGGCCCCTGGCCCCCCCTTGGCTTCTGGCAGCATCGCTCCAGGCTCTGCCTCCATCTTCACACGGCCTCCTCCCCTGTGTAGCTCTGTCCTCACATGCGGTGCTTCCTGCCTCTCTGTGCCCTGTTTTCTACGAGGACGCCAGGCACTGCACTGAGGGCCCACCCTAATCACTAGGAACCTCATCTTAACTAATGGCTTCCGCAAAGACCCTATTTCCCAATTAAGGTCACACTCTGAGGTTCCAGGGCGACACAACTATGGGGGACAATACTGAACACACTACAGAGGCGTAAAGAAGACAAATAAGTAACAGTCACTGCATCCCCTGAGTGCCTACTGTGTGCCTGGGACTCACACACCTTTGTAAACCGCCAACAACCCTGCCAGGGAGGGACGGTCTTCACCCTTCTGCAGGTGAGCGAAGAGGCTTCAGGCTACACTCTCACCCAGAGCCTGTAGGGACAAGGGGAGGATGCGCCCAGGCCGGCCCTGGAGCCTGGCGTGGAGTGGGAGCACCTATGTCCCAGCCAGGACCGCCCCCCAGGGCTCCACGGGTGCAGGTGGCAGCATGGGGCTGGGCTCAAACAGGCTGCACCTAGGGCGGCTGTGCTGCAGCCATCCAGAAATCCCTGATGCTTTCTGATCAAGGGGCCCAGAGACCCACTGGGCACTGGGCCCAGCAAATGAGGCAGCCCGCACCGGTTCTGGTCATTGTCAGGCCTCCTCCTCTGCCCCCACCCTGTCCCCGTGCCCCCTGCCCTCTGCTCCCAGAACCGCTCTCCAGAGTCCATCTCACTCACTTCCGTGCTGTGTGCTTCTCTCCCCATATTTACTCCCTCAGTCTTTTATTAAAGAAAATTAGGGAAGTAAGAAAAGGGAGAAAAGGGAACCAGTCGGTTTCAGGGCCCAAAGGAACAACTTCTGAAATATCTATTCTTCATTTTCTGTGCATAGGAGTTTCATGAATTATATATTAATATATTGCTATCTTTTATTAATTACACTAATCACACTATGTTGACAATTTCTTTTTTAAGATTTTTTTTCCTTTTTCTCCCCAAAGCCCCCTGGTACATAGCTGTGTACTTTTAGTTGTGGGTCCTTCTAGTTGTGGCATGTGGGACGCCCCCACAGCGTGGCCTGATGAGCGGTGCCATGTCCGCGCCCTGGATCCAAACTGGCCAAACCCTGGGCCGTTGAAGCGGAGCACGCAAATTTAACCACTCAGCCAGGGGCCAGCCCCTATGTTGACAATTTTGAAGCTGTTTTTCTATATCGTACCTAGCATTTTCCATGATATCGTTAACTTCTCAAGAGTATGCAGTATTCCAACGTAAAACCACTGTTGTTTCTAAAAAAGTCCTTCACGTAACTTTTGGAAAGATACGGAGCATCTCAGAGAAGAAAGGCATTAGATACCTACATCACCCCCACGAGGGCCACCGTTCCATCCCAGCGCATGTCCGTCCATCCCACGGCGCCTGGACCCGCCGAGCTCCGGGAATCGCATTTCCAGGGACCAGACCCTGGAAGTCGGCATTGGAACAAGCACTCGGGGGCACCCCTTGGGGTTCCTGAGGACACTCTGTCCTATGCCGCTTATTCCCAGCTGCATGCTGCCCTTGTGTGGACGGGCTGGGCACTGAGATGGCTTCTCACTGCTGGAATGCAGTTTTCTATACACAAATCTTCTGTCCGTCCATTAATTTTCCTTATGATAATTTACTGGCAGCGACTTCTTTAACTGTGAAGTTTTATTTGTGTTTCAGATCAGTGTGTAAGGAGTGAAATATGTATTGAGTGCCTCCTACGTTACAGGCCAAAATGCCACCTGTCTGTCTGCTGGGGACCCCGACAAGGACTCAGGTCCCCAGGAGAAACTGAGAGAACAGGTGGACTGCCCAGGACAGGTGCAACAGGTGCACCCAGAGTGTCCAATGCCCCATGTGGGTCCCAGGCTCTCCCTTCTTTTTTTGAAGGAAGATTAGCCCTGAGCTAACTACTGCCAATCTCCCTTTTTTTGCTGAGGAAGACTGGCCCTGAGCTAACATCCAAGCCCATCTTTCTCTATTTTATACGTGGGATGACTACCACAGCATGGCATTTGCTAAGCGGTGCCAGATCTGCACCCGGGATCCGAACCAGTGAACCCCGGGCCGCTGAGAATCGGAACGTGTGAACTTAACCGCTGCGCCACCTGGCTGGCCGCAGGCTCTCCCTTCTGATGCTTCCGATGCTTCTGAGCTCAGGAAACCCTTTGCCCCATTAGTTTACAGTAATGGCCTTTAAGATTGTACATCTGGTCCCTCCCTTGTCTCGTCCCGATTTCTGTGCCTCCTCCCTCTTTCCAGAGAGGGCTCAGGCTGCCTCTGCTCACGCTCCTTGGCTTCTAGGGGCCAAGGCTCAGAGGCACACCCACTGTCCCCTCTGTTGTCGGCTCCATTCCCGGCAGCCAAGCCTGTGCTGGCTCCCAGGGCAGAGGCAGGGCAGTGCTTGCCCACTGGGGGACCCACTTTCAGTTACTGCCACTATTATGGCCTACCTATTGGAGATGATTGGTCAATCTGATACATGCTTAATTGTTTAAATGTTTCATATTTTTTTTTCTTTTTTTCCAAAAGCTTTCTCTGGCTAGTATTTAATTAGCAACAAACTCTGATGAGGACATCATTGCTTGAGAGACACAAGCAGCGGATTAGCACCGGGATCCGGTGAGTGACTCACCTGCCTGAGAGCGTGACCAGGAGAGCAACACAGAGGCTTGTCCCACTGGGAAGAAGGGATCCTGAGACACTGAGAAAAGACAGAACCCCTGACTTCTACTCACCCTGGGAAAATCAGAGATCACACCAGTGAGATTTCAAAATTGCTGGAATTTCACATTTGATCCTCTGAATACAGACTTTGAAGTGAAGTGATTCAAGGCCCCTGAGGCAACCCCAGGACTCTGGGTGGGGAGACCGGATACGTTCCTCAGCTCCAGGAAAATCAAGAGCTGTGGCATCACGGAATGAGAGAGAAATGTCAGGTTTTCCAGGGCCTTTGGATAGAAAAAGCAATGCTAATTGGAGGTAAGACTCATGTGAGTAAACTAATTATAGACAGCAGTAATGACTCTGTCCGCTCACCCTGGGGCTCACACACTGTCCCAAACAACTTACACTTTTAACACATTTAGTGCTTAAAAAAAGCACCGAGATTTGTTATGAGTATTATTCCCCCAGAGAGGTTCAGCAGTGACTCCTACACCACAGAGCAGGTACAAGGAAGGGCTGGATCCCCACTCAAGCATTTGGCCCACAGAGCTCACCCTCCATGGCAGCCTGAAAACATCTGTCTGGACGCAGACCTGCAGCCATAAAGCAACGCCGATGCCACGAGCGGCGTGAGAGGCTGACTCCACATGCGGACAATGGTCAGACCATGTACAGCTGACAAGAGAGCTCTGACCCTCAACCCCCGTAACAACCATCCAGAAGCCAAACCACAGGCTGCAGCCAGGGGCCCAGAAGGTCAGCGCCTGGCCATGACAGACAGCTCCCTCATTTTTGCCTCTCGCGCCTCTGACTCAGGACAACCAGAGAAAGCCACATATGCCCCTGAAGCTGGTCACACAGGACGCCCTGCATGTAGAGAGCCGCCCCCAGCCTGCCCAGGGCACAGCGAGCATCCACTGAGGCACAGTCTTGGGCAGCGGTGGGGGCTGGATCTTTCTCAAAGGCCAGTCCTGTCCAGAAAGCTCCCGGCACAGGCCCCACCCTGCCCCACGTAGGACACCGACCCTTCCCTGCCCAGGTGGCTGTGTCTATTCTAAATCCTAAAACAAATCCCGCCAGAAACAAGTCCTTTGCTCATGTCCTTGATCCCACCGCTACCCCCACCCCAGCCTCAGGCTCACCCCCACCGCTGGACCCCTTTGCGCCCTTCTGGCCACCCACATCAGCCCTTTACTGTGTCCCCCCGTCACAAGCTTCTGATGTCCCCAACAGCCCACACCACAGGCCGGCACAGTGGGGCGCTGGCCCACGCCTTGCAGCTGAGGAGCAAGGTGGGCAGGGCCTGACTCTGGGCTCCGGGACGCCCTGGCAGCCCCCTGCCCCTCTCCCCAGCTCCTGCAGGTCCGGGCTGGGCTGGGCGCGGCTTCTCTGGACCCTGCCCCTGGCAATTCTCGGGTCCAGCTCCCCACTCTTCCCACTCATCTTCAGGCCCTAAAAGTCTCGGCCATTTCAGAACCCACCGCTGTCCATGGCACGCACGGGACAGTGCTTCAGGCTGTGGGGACATGGAGACCAGGGCAGGACAGTGGGGTCTGGAGGGACTGGACCATCCGCATTCTGCGACCTGCACGCAAGGACCATGTACCCTGCGCATCCTCCACGACGCCTGGCGTCTCCCGACGCCCCCGACGGTTCCCCAGGACCCCCGACCGCGCCCACCCAGCGCAGCCCATACTGTCACCCTCACCACCACCCCTGCCCCGCAGGGTCACACCCCCACCCGCGTTCTCGTGACTCCGTCGCCGCGGGAAGGACGACACCAAGCCCCGGGCGGGGGGACCCAGCAGCGCAGGATCCGTGGTCCCGAGACTGTGCCCACAGAGGGGGCGGGAGCACTCGGGCTGCGGCCGTGAGCGTGCCCAGCGCCCATCTCAACGGGTCTGCGACCCCGCGCCAAGCTCGACCCAGACGCAAACCCCCTCCGCGCCGGGCGGCGTGGTCCCGCCCGCGTGTCACGTGACGCCGCGCCGGCTCGCAGAGGGAGGGGCCCAGGTCCGCACTTCATGTGGCTCTCAGGGTCCACGGTCACCGGCCGCTCTCCGTGTCCACACTCGCTCTCCGTTCCCACCCCCGCCCACCGCCAGGATGATGTGCGGCGCGCCCTCCGCCACTCAGCCCGCCACTGCCGAGACCCAGGCCATCGCCGACCAGGTAGGCCGGGCCGCGGCGGGGCTGCCGAGCCGGGATGGGGTCGGGGTCCTGCCCGGGTCCTGGGGACCCGCCGCCCAGGACGCTGAGATGGCGGCTGGAGTGCAGGCGAGCGCTGGGTTCGGGGCCCGCGCCCCGGCTGGGTCACGGGAGAGCGCCCTCCTGCCCTGGGGATGCGCACGGCGAGGCGCGGAGGGGCAGGGCCCTACTATGAACACCCTCGGGTAGTTGGGAAAAATCGTGTAGAGAGAGAGCAGAGCATGCCGCAGGTGGGGTCGGTGAATCCGGGAAAGTGAGTACAGGATGTTCACTATGCTGTTGTTGCAACACTGTGTGCACAAGTGTGAAATCCTCTCCAGGTAAAAGGATTTGAAAACGGAATGCAAAGGGAGCTAACCGGCTGGGGGCAGAGGCAGAGCCTGGTCCGACCCTGGGCGGCTGACTGACCCCGCCCTCGGTTTCCTCATCGGTAGCCTGGGCGTGGGGAAGGCACCTGCAGGGGAGGTTCTGGTGAGGGTGGGTGAGGGGGCTGCCCCACCCATCCTCACGTGTCAGCAAGGTGAGTCTTTACCAGCAAGACAAGGTGCAGGCCAGGAAGGCTGGAGGTCTGAGTCTGGAGAGGAAAGTAAGACAGACTTGTTCCCTTGTGACCTCCTCTCCTGCTTCTGCCCCTGGAAGCCAGGGCCGGTCAGCCCAGGGTCCTGCTCCAGGCTTGACCACATGACGGCGGGAAGGGGGTGAGTCAGTCCCACGAGACCTTTGAAAATGGGGACTTTGCAGGAACTCTGTGTGTGAGCCTCCCCTGGGCATGGTTCCTGCTCTTCCCCCACAGCTGCTCCACAGCCCCGCCCTTCCTTATGTTTCTTGGTTTTCCAGGCCCCAGAAATTCCCCACTGTCCCATGGACATTGCATGTGAGTGAGCTCATTCAGCAGAGAGAGTTGCCATCTCAAAGGGCCCCGTACCTTGGTGTTGATCACTTAAGGGTGACATGTAAGTGGCAGTGTCACTGCTGCTGGGAGAGACTGTGGGGCAGCTGTGGGGGAGCTGGGCACTGGCTTCAGAGTCGTGCATTCTGTACCCGCCTCCTGGAGAAGTGCCCGCCAGCCATGTCCTTGTGCCTTCCCTGGCTGTCTGCCCCACCCTGGACCCCTGAGGGCCAGGAACAGGCAGCTTCCTAACTGACCTGGGGCCCTCTGTGCTCCCTTGGTACAGCCCAGCCCATCTTACTCCCGGTCAACAAGGGAGTCAGTGAACTGTTGTCCCGCAGGCAGTGCCCTGGGCTGGCATTCCAGGCCTCCGTCTCAGCTGTCCTTGCACACTGCCGTGGCTTTCCTGCCTCCACTCCTGGAACAGGCAAAGAGACAGGCCATTCCTTCCCAGCCCCCGGGCAGGTCTGTGGGTGTCACTCGCCCCGCCTGGGCTTGTAGACCGTCTGCGGGGTCAGTTCCCTGCAGACCCAGCAGGCACTCTGCATGGACAAGTACAGGTAAGTGCCCAGGCCCGGGTGGGTGCTGCCCCAGGGAGATGCACACACCACAGTGAGAACCTTCCAGCCGCGTGGACAGAGCAGGGGAGCCTCTGGACTGTGGCCGCCTTCTCCCCGCCTGACGGCCCTCCTGGCCCTCACTGCCCACACTCCAGTCTTCTCTCCATCCTTACCCCCAGCAAGGGCCCTCCCTGAGGCCACTGGAAGGCCATGCAGCCGGGACTCAGTGCATGTAAGGAGGGAGAGCCCCCTTGTCTGCCAGCAACGGGCATCTTTCTGCAGCTGGTTTAACTAAATCCTGGAACCCTCTGGCACCCATCTGATCCCTCCAGCACAGAGTCAGCGTACACCAGTGCCCCCTAGTTCGTCTAGATAGCAGGCAGAACTCTTTCAAATCAGGTGAGATTTTAAATGAAAAAACAGACAGACTTGGTCTCTCCTTCCCCCATAAAGATGCTCTGTTCCTGAAAGGCCAAGACCCTGGAAAATAGCACTGAACCAAAAGTACAGTGACTGACACCAAAGATCAGGCGCAGCCTCTGCCCAAGGGCCTGCATCCCAAAGAAACCCCTCCCAGTGCAGCGAAGCCCTTCCACCTGCACGCACAGGTCTGCAGCCTTATCTGCTGGAGGGGAAGAGAGGACCGCCTGGAGCGGGCAGAGGGGACAGTGCAGGGAATTAAGGCACGTCCGTAAGATGGAAGACTACGTTTAGTTTAAATTTTAGCATTTCCTAGTTTTCAACTTTAAAACAGTAATTTGAAAATGATAACCATCCATGAACCGTTGGCATGTCAGGTAGAAAGAAGAACAGAGCATAAAGTTCTACATGGCGTTGTGACGATGAAAATAGAAAGATCTCCCAGGCCTAGAAAAGGGAGGGCAAGGAGGCGCAGCGGTGGTGTTGCTGAACCTGGGGAGAAGTGAGGCGTCGCTTCCTGAATGTCGGTGTCGGGGCTGAGTGTACTGCGTCCCCTCCGTGATAGAGACGCGTCGCGTCACAGAACGTCTGTGCAGGGCAGTGTCGGAATGCGGTTTGTAAGACAAACGTCAGACACGAGGTCTTGTGTGAGTTGCTGTGGCAGGAGCAGCGGCATCTCGATTTTTCCATTCTCTCCCCTTCCCCAGGTGAAGTCACAGCTGGAGGAGAAGGAAAATAAGAAGTTCCCTATTTTTAAGGCTGTGGAGTTCCGGAGCCAGGTGGTCGCGGGGACAAACCACTTCATCAAGGTGGGGTGTCTGCCCCGTGGGGGGTCTGGCCTGATGGGTGCTCGTGCAGAAGTGGGTGGCATGGGCTCATAGGTGCCATCTCAGGGGTGCTTAAAGGGGGATCCTGGCCAGCCCCTGCTTCAGGGGTTTGTGGCCTCTAAAACGAATGTGTCTACGTGTGTGTGTGCCTGTGTGTGCACACGCCAGCCTCCTTGGAGGAGAGGACCGAGCCTCTTGGGGAAGTGATGGCTCTGATGGAGTGAGTGTGGGGTGCGAGGGTGTCGCTGGGGTAACCAGGGCGTCTGGTGCACTTGAAGGAAGGAGAGGGGAATGTCATCAGCCCCGTCACTGATGACCTGAAGGGACATGGCTCCCCCACATCCAGGCCTTTCGCAGACTGTCGCGTCCAAGAGGGGAGCTGGGGTCAGAGGCTGCACCTGCCCCCTCACTCCACTCTCTCCTTCCAGGTTCAGGTTGGCGATGACGACTTCGTGCACATTCGAGTGTTTAAAAGCCTCCCACACGAAAACAAGCCCCTGGCCTTGTCCAGCTATCAGACCAACAAAGCCAGGCACGACGAGCTGTCGTATTTCTAGCTCCTGAGCTTGAACAGATCCCGTGTTCCATGCGGGTCTCCGTCCTCTGAGGACGTGTGTCTGGGATCATAAATGAGTGTTGTCTCTACGCTGTGCCACATGGGGTTGAGCGGGTGCTATGTGCCCTCTGTCTGTATTTCTAAATTTCATTGTGTTGATTTTTGTCCTTTCAATCAATAATCTTAACCACATTACTTTCAAAGAGTGCTTATTGTTCTCAATTCTATATATTTTAATGTTTACAAGTTTCCTGTTTTGGGTTTTTTTTCTTCATCTAAAAGCATAATCACAGTATAGAGGAGTCCAGAGGTGAGGGTGACATCTGTAAAAGGGCTTTCAGAGGCAGGTGACAGCTGTCCGGTTGGAGCCCCTCCTGGGCCGTGTGCTGACCTGAGCTGGCCGAGACCCTTCCACCTGAGGAGCTGAGCCCAGGGGTCTGCCCAGGGTCACAGCAAGTGGGCGGTAGACACAGGATTCCAGGAGCCTGTGTTCTAACTGTGGCTCCACATGCTGTCCTCTTGCCTCTGTGTCGTGTCTCCAGGCCTCGGTTTCCCCCATAAAATGAAAGGATCTGAGCAGCTGTGATTCTGGAGCATCAGTTTCAGATGCACTCAGACAGTCACACACTTTACACCCGGTAGAGATGCCCAGATGCGTGTGGGAGAGGCAGGGACATCCCGGGTCACTAGGTGCTCGTGCAGAGTGGCTGGAGCTGCCCAGAGCGCTGTCAGCCTGGAGGCCCTCTGGGCTTGTCTGCTGAGTGGCGTGGCTCAGAACCCCAGCATCCGGCAAGAGCACATCCGTTTAGTACCACTTCTGTCCCCAGCAGGACGCTGCCTGTTACTGAGTGCAATGAAAAAGTGTGCCCCATATGTTCTAAGAGTACAGCCTATTCAGTGAAATGTCTCTGGTTCTGCATCACAGCAGAAAGTGCATTCCTGTGGGCAAAGTCGGTCTGACATTCCTGAACTCTGCTTTCCCTCTGCTGCTGGCGACTGGTATCTGTGCCAGGTCCGCAGCTGAAGGACCGGGCTCTCCAGGCCGTGACGGCGTGAAGAGCAGAAGGGTCGGAGCAGACCGTGAGCAGAGCTTTGAGAGCGGCGATAAGAGGACTCTGAAGACTGGGCTGTGGGCATCCTCTTCTGTTTCTGGGAGCGATGAGAATAAAAACTGCCTAACATCCTCTTAGTCTTGCACACACAGTCGGGCACTTCTGCATTGAAATGAAGACGCAATATATTTTCCACCTGGGGCCTTCCAGTGAAAGGCAGGTGGGGTGGTGCCATCTGGGATGCTGAGAGGGACCCACGGCCCATGCCTGCAGGAGGGGAGCAGGAATCAGCAGGGACAGCAGCCAGGGAGACCCCCATGGAGGCAGGTCTCACCACCAGGTAAGAGTGGCAGCCTCATGGGCTGGGCTGTGTTCCTGGGGTGAAGACAGACGTTAGAGACTAGAGAGGTGGGGGCTGCACAGCGTTGTGAGTACACTGAATGCCACCGCACTGTGCACTTCAGTGGTTCAATGTGTGTGGTGGGCGTTTCACCTGCATGCAAACACCCCGCGTCAGATGGTGAACCAGAGCCCGGTTGTGGGCACTTGGCAGTGCTGTTGGGGGACAGACCCTGTGCTGGGGCTCTTCCGTCTGCCACCTTGGCCCAGCCTCTGGGCTCCGCCCTGCCCTGGTCCCTGACCTGTGTGGATGCCCTCCCCCTGTGGCTCTGAGCCCCTCGCTGCCGGGACCACCTCGGGGGCTCCTGCTGGTGCCCTCCCTTCTACAGGCCGTTTCTGGTCTTTCTGGCAACTTGCCCGCCGGGTAGCCCTTTGAGCCAGGCTCCTAAATGCTCCCCTTATGGCCACCCTGGGGCTCTGCACCACCCGGTACGATTCCACAGGCTTGTGAGTGGCCCCTTTATAAGGGCTCCTCAGATCACCCCTGTCAGAGTGCCATCTGTCTCCCGGGGACCTGGGTTGATGTAAATGCCCAGAAGACACTGACATATGCCGCCCACCACGAGAGTCACAGCCCCTAATTCTCAAGCTCTCCAGGCAGAGAGAAGCCCTCTGGGTGGGCAGGCTCCTGTCCCTGGCCCACCCCATCCTTTCTCAGCCGCCCTCACCAGAGTCTCTTACCCTCACCTGGAATTCTCAGGGAAGTCATTTTCCCAAAGCCTGAGGGGTCTGCAGGCCCCGCACACTGGCTGGCTGAACAGCCCCGCTGTGCTGTGCTGTGCTGTACTGTGTGATGCCCAGGTTCTCTCCATACCAGGCGCTGACCCACATGGACGCCTTCATCCTCTGGCCCGGCCCCTTGCTGCGGGGACCACCTCAGGGCTCCTGTGGCTGCTCTCTCTTCCACAGGACTTTTCTCCCGGTTCTGGGAACTCGCCAGAGGGCCGCTGGGGGTGGTCAGATGAAGGGTCCGTGTCCTTACCAGCTGGAGAGGAGCTTACCTGCCACACTCCAGTCTCTAGTTGCCCTCAGACACGGTGCCTCCAGAACTCAGGGTCCGCTGGTCCAGATGAGATCAGATGCATGTTAGACCAGATAGGGGCACACGGCACTGATGTGGCCTGGAGACCACGGCGGACGTGGGTGAGCCGTCTCGTTATGAGGTGGAGTAATCGAGCTGCCTGGAGGCGGCCTCACTTCACCTTTCTATCCTCAGAGAAGAGGGACGTGGCTCCAGCACGCAAGGGCCAGAAGAAGACTCCAGCATTCCAGAGGAAAGGGGGAATTTCTCTAGAACCTGGGTGTGGGGCAGGCTTGTCATCTCTGACTCAGAATCCAGTTACGATAGAGGAGCCATGGACACACCTATACACCAAGGGGGAAGAAGAACTTTTGCATGGCAAAGACCACCACCAAGTCAAAGAAAAATGACAAACTTGGAGAACATACCGCAACTTATAGAGGAAGTGGTTAACGCTGCTCATGCATAAAGAACTCTGAAGAGAGGCGAGAAAAGGAGAATTCCTATAGGAGATGGGAAAGACCTCAACAGACGATGCACAAAAACTCTTCAAACGTCCACTGAACTCTCAGTGAGAGAAGCGCGGGTCAGCCGCGCTGAGCTCCTCTTCTTTCCAGTTCCACTGGAACGCCCGGGAGCTCACTGACCACCCTGTGGCCGGGCTGGGGGGACGCGGCCTCAGAGGGACGCGGCCTCAGAGGGAGAGGGGGCTCCCTTTCCCGCCCCCCTTGCCAATTCCGAGGACCAGCTTCGGGCATTGATCAAGTGTCACTGCTCCTCCTGGGTCCAATTCCTTCACCCCGGGAGGTGACAGTGCTGGTCCTTCTAGCCCGGCAGGTACCACACTCGCCCTGTGGCTCACCCACACCTTGTAACTAAGTCCTCAGGTCATCTCCAGACCACACCAGGACCTTGCTCTGCCAGAAAGGCAGAGAGAAAGTGGGGGAGCAGATGTGAAATGCAAAAAGGTGGCGCCCTTCTTAAGGGGACCTGGGTGCCCTCTCTCAGACCACACATGCACGTGCCCGTCCAGCCCTGAGCCCCACTGCACATTGGTTTGTACCCCTGTAATACTGGTGTGAGTATTTTGATCATTTGCCTCCCCCACGTGACCAGAAGCATGGTGTCCACAGTGCCTGGCACCTGGTAGGTAGCTGACACATGACCGAATGACGGGACGAGGATGGAACCCCTCATCTAATTCAGGGCTCTCTGGTAGTGACGTGTTCCCAGCTCATCTCTGTAGGCCCCGAGTCTGCGCCTCCCTCGCCTGTCCCTACCCATCTGGCCCCGGGCTTTGCAATGGGACCCACAGCTTCCCCAAGGCCAGGCAGCAACCTCAAAGGCCCAGGGCTGCCCACCCCTGTGGGTGAACTTTGACCAGTTAGAGAAGATGGGAGGGAGCAGGTGAGACTGTGGTCCCCGTGGCCCCTCCAGAGATGCCCCCGCGGGACTCCTGGCCAGCTGGGTCAGCACCTTCTCTCCCTCCCCTGCCTCACTCCCCTCCTCTGGCCGCACCCCACAACCCTGGGATGGCACCTGCCCCGAATAACACTGGAGCTTGAAGCTAGGCCCGGCTCCTTTCCAGGAACTCAGACTGTGAAAGCCCTAAGCCAACGTGGTCTCAAGGGTGGGCCTGGACATGAGGCCTGTCTTCCCGCCCCCTGGGGAAGCCTGCACATGCGTCCTCTCAACGGTTGAGGTTCGAGGGCCTGCGTGATCCTCCTGCTGGACACTTGGCTCAGAGCCTCTGAGAGGGAAAGGTGACCAGGTCAGGACTTGCCCCACCCCACCCTGGTCCCCATCACAGGATGTGTCGGGTAGAGTAACAGCCCCCCAGGATGCCTGTGCTCAGTGCCCAGAACCTGTGAATGTTACCTTACAGAGCAAAAGGGACTTTCAGATGTGATTAGGATGAGGACCCTGGATGGCAGATGTCCTGGGTCATCTGGGTGGGCCCAGTGTCATCACAGCGTCCTTACATGAGGCAGGCGGGAGGGTCTGTTGGAGAGTGAGGGGCTACACTGCTGGCTTTGGAGATGGAGGGGGCCACGAGCCAAGGAATGCAGGTGCCTCTAGAAGCTGGAACAGGCGGGGAACAGACTCCCAGGAGCCTCCAGGAGGAACCAGCCCTGCCCACCCATTTTTAGCCTTCTGGCCCCCAGAACGGTACGAGGGGACATTCGTGTGGCTTTAAGTCACTACACTGTGGGACTGTGTTAGAGCAGCCACAGGAAATTCATCCACCAGGATTGGGCCTCGGGGCTAGGAGGGCCTCGCTGGGGAGCTAGGCAGCACGGGGAGGGCCCCAGTGAGCTTGACAGGTGGACTCGGAGGTGCTTCAGACGCGAAGAGAGCCCACCTCCGCCCCCACCCTTCCCCTGGCCTTTCTGGCGGAGCAAGGAGCCTGGGTGGCCAGGAGATGACCTGAGGACTTAGTTACAAGGTGTGGGTGAGCCACAGGGTGAGTGTGGTACCTGCCGGGCTAGAAGGACCAGCACTGTCACTTCCTGGGGTGAAGGAATTGGACCCAGGAGGAGCAGTGACACTTGATCAATGCCCGAAGCTGGTCCTCGGAATTGGCAAGGGGGGCGGGAAAGGGAGCCCCCTCTCCCTCTGAGGCCGCGTCCCTCTGAGGCCGCGTCCCCCCAGCCCGGCCACAGGGTGGTCAGTGAGCTCCCGGGCGTTCCAGTGGAACTGGAAAGAAGAGGAGCTCAGCGCGGCTGACCCGCGCTTCTCTCACTGAGAGTTCAGTGGACGTTTGAAGAGTTTTTGT